CTTAGGAAGGAAAGAACGCGTGCGAAATTTCAGGTTGTTATCTTAAAAACTAAAGGGCTCTTTCAGATTGTTATTTCAAAAACTGAGGGGCTAGTTCGGGTATATACAGGCAGATGACCATAACTAAATCGGTTCAGCTCGTCATCACTTAGGATTTCGGGTTCCCGAAGTTTGCTTCGATATTTTACGCACCTCGTGGCAAAGTGAATATATTCTGTTCAGTGTATAGCAACAACAAAAATCTATAATACATTTTCCTACTAAAGCGGCGAGCTTTCTAAAGCTTACGTTGAAATTTGGATATTATCCTCTAAATACTTTTATATATGTATACTTGTATATCTGTGTAGATATTATACAGAGATAACTCACTCGCCTCCTCCCTTCCACAGTTTCCCGCGCATAGCAAGGTTAATTTAGAATTTGATGCGAAAAACGTGCGGCACGTGACCAATTGAAAAATTAGAGAAAGCGCCAGTAAAAAATAGAAATTTTAACACTAAAGTTTACCCTTAGCAGCGCAAGTGAAATGAGGCATTACCGGATTGTAAATGACAAGAGCTGCTGCAGCTGGAGCGACCCCGGGCAAGGTAGCCGTAATGTTATCGCAAGCATTTTTCGAACGAAAATAGTTTTCATTATTGCGTCGAGGGCTTCTGTTCGTATTGTGCTTTTTATATTTTATTTTAGTTGTTATTYTTATTGCTGTTGTTGTTGTTGTGTACAATGCTGGAATTGGTGTGTTGCAAAGGTATGCTGTTGGGCATGCCAGCTTTGCACGTCCATTTGCGTTGGACTCGCACAGATAGAGTTGCCAAGCTAGTTTCARAGCGGTTGTGAACAGGGTGAGTTGGGGTTAAGTTGAATAATTTGCTATCAGTGAGTTGTGGTTGTTTCTGAGAGTTGAGTTACAGTGCTTTTTTATTCGAGTTAAGTTCACATTTATAAGGTAAGCATTGCATTATTTCTTATTTGACTTATTTTGACTTAAGATATTTATTTTCGGGAATACGGTTATTTGATACTCTAGATAACGCGTTCATAGGAAAACGTTTTGGAAATGAAAATTACCCCAAATTATCCATTTAAACTCCGCATACAAACCGAACCTATATAACCTGTTTATTAGATTGGCACACTCTTGTTTTATATACCGGTGAAAGCTTGAAAATCGTCGTATTGTCACCAGCAATATAGCGGAAGGTCCTAACATTTCTCATGTGCCGATTAAACACATTTTAGTTAATATTTT